CCGTCCCCCCGTCTCAGCCTGGCTACGTTTCGGCTCTGCCTTCCCCTGCCAGGAGCAAACCGCTCCGGCAGCTTTGCAGGCAGATTCCTGCGGTGAGCACAGACCTCCGCTCCAGGGGGCCGGGGATGCAGAGGTGGAAAAGGGGCTTTTTTTGCACTTTTTCATTATTCCTCTGCTAACGAGGGGCAGGCGACGCTGGGCTTGAACATCTGCCGGCAGCGCCGGCGCCGCCCGGAAAAAAAAAGGCGTGCCAGCGCGGTTGGCGACCCTCTGGAGCGGGGTGACAGTGCAGAGTCAGCGCGAAATTAAAAGGCAAATAAAAAAAAGGGGGATTTTTAATGAATTGCAAATGGTTACCAGCTGGGCCGAACCCCTCACATTATTGCAAACAGCCCCGGCCTCGTGTGACTCCACACGTGCAAGGGGCTGGGCGGGCAGGGGGGGACAGACGTGCCCAGGGGGACGCGGGCAGCCCCACAGGCAGCTGCCAGCCCCGACCCCAAAGCCACCCCCCGAATCCCCCTTTGCCGGCGATGCCGATGCTAACCCCGACGTCCCCGCGGCGCCCGGGCTGGGGCACCCACCTTGAGGAAGGGGATGACGAAGGGTCGCAGCGGGAAGTTGGTGGCCTCCTGGAGCTTGGCGTGAAACTCCTCGATGGTGAGCGTGGAGTTCTGCGGGGACAGCCTGGGCTCAGCGCCGCCGGCCACGGCCCCCCGGCCCCCCTGCACCCCCCGGGGGGACGCTTTGCTGTTTCTCCCCCATTTCTGCTCTTCTGCCAGCTCTGCCACGCTCAAGGGAAAACAATACTCAAGGGAAAACCATGCTCAAGGGAAAACTCAAGGGAAAACCATGCTCAAGGGAAAACCATGCTCAAGGGAAAACCATGCTCAAGGCTTTGCTGGCAATGCCAGCAGCGGGGGACCCAACCCTGCACCGTGCCCACCCAGGGTGCTGTGCAGATCCCGGGAGATGCTGGAAAAACAGCCCCAATTTTTCCAGGATTTAGGTCAATCCAGCACCAACAGGACCCTCTTTTTTTCCCATTTAGCAGCATCTCCACCCCAAAAGGAAAACACAGGATCCCCGGGCGGGGGATCACCCCACCAGCCCCGGGGCTGACCCTGCACCCAGCAAACGTACCACGAGCCCCAGGACGAGGGTGCGCACCCGCTCCCCGATCTCGGGGGAGATGTCATTGCCGAACTGCTGCAGCGTGGTGAGGAAGCGCTTGAGCTTGGAGAGCTGGCGGGCGCCGCAGGCCGGCGGGAGCTGGTGGGTGGAGAGGGAGGCGGTGGAGGAGGTGGCCGGCCCGTTGCTGAACCCGTTGGGGGTGGACGGGGCCCCATTGATGGCGGTCGGCGAGTGGCTGCTCCCGTTCATCACTGCGAGGAGAGAGGGGGACGGGAGGTCAGAGCGGGCGGCCGTACCCTGGCACCACAGGGACAGGGCTGCGAGGAGAACGGGAGGTCAGAGCGGGCGGCGGGCGG